TTTTTTTTTTTTTTTTAAACAAAAAAAATTCTTAGATTTACCTTTCAATCACTCCACTATCCGCACAAATTGATGTACCTATTTTTTTAAGATTTAAATGTAGAGATTTGGTATATCTTCCTTGATAATGTAGTATCATGTCTTATTTGAAATAGCTTTCTAATAATATATTTGTCTTTATAGAACAATCATTACATTTGTAATCTGGTCATATATCTGTTAAAGTATTAGTATAAAAGTGAAAGATACAAAAATAAAAAAGATTGACTAACCAACCCAACCGCCGAACCAATACTTTTGAAAGTAAGATGCAATAGTTTCTGCAACTGCTGAGTTTGCAATTCTGGTAGCAATCTGAAGCTTCTTCGCATCTATAATTGTAATGAATCAAAATTGATAAAATATTCGATCTCTAAGCTATTGATCATTCAAATGTTTTGTAAACCATTCTTTAAGTGTATCGGCTAAAAAAAAAATAGTAATAATGCAAAATTATAAAAAAAAACTGATAAGCAAAGAAAGGATTAATTCTAGTATAGATAACATCTTCAGTCGATCTCTGACCTGTGCTATGTAATCATACGATTTGGCCAAAATTACATGTACAATTTTGGCTAAATAGTATATATACAGAGGTTGAGAGAGGTATCACTAGTGTTATAAATTTAAAAAATTTTTATTGGCGCAAACGCAAAAAAAAATATGCACAAAAAAGAAATTTATACATGCATTATATATATGAAGAGCACTGATATATGTGCAAATTTAATCTATGTACACTGTGTCTACTGCACAAATTCAATTTATACAACTGGGTATCACCTATACTAGACTTAATCTGCAAAGAAAAAATAAAATTTTATAAGAAATTACCCTCATATCAGTTACACAAAACTACTTGAGTATTAGGCAAGTATTTTCTAGCTGCTATCAGATATGGATCCTATTTGTTTATAGCTAACCACTTCAGGCTTAATTGGATATCATTCTTAGAACAATATTTGATAAGCTTTAAACAACCAGAAAAATAACTAAAATTATTATAATATAACAAAATCTATTAGAAAACACAAAAATACTTACTGATTTGAACATAAGATCAATAACTGGTATTGTTTCTTTATTATTTACAAATGTTGCTACAACTCGACCATGGGGTTCATTTAATTTAACTATAAAGGCTGTATTTGGGAAGTTTAAGCTGTTGCGATAACCAGTAGAATCTACTACTAGTAAATCTGGATATTTAGTTAAAAGAGCTGGCATAATTGCAGATACAATACCAAGGAGTACAGCTTGTTCTTTTGGATTTTGAGCATTTTTGATACCATATTGTTTTGATATAACTGTGCCTTCACCTTCATATTTGTCTATTATAAAACAAACCTATTAACCAAAAAAAATAAATTAAATAAATTAAAAATAAAATAAATTACCCAGTAATTAAAAATAAATAAATCAATAGAAACTAATTCTTACTTTTTCAAGTTCTGATATACTTGGATAATATGACTTTTTATCATACTTAAGGGTATTTTGAATTGACTCAAGATTGGGTACGAATCAGGTGGATATTGGTTGAACTTGGTTTGCCGGTGTATTAAGAGTTGTATCAAGAACCTTTGAACCGCTCATGAGTTCTGAAAACAGGATTATTAAATTAAAATCTAGATATTTTCAAGCTTAATTTGTTTTCTGAAATCAAAACTCTTTCTAACGATCCTCTGGACAACACAACAAAAAATTGAACAATAGAAAAATGATATAGAAAGTCTCAAGATATATACTATTTTCAGTCCTGTTTTTGAATAAGCAGTTGTTAATAAAACCTAAAGGCATGAAATATCGAGAAGCGGGTGTAACTTGGGTGGTTTTTCTTGGGGTCAAGCTTCTTGTATAGTGGACTCCTCAAGATATTTGGCATCCAAACCAGAAGAGTATTCTGGAAACTGAACTTACCTCTAAACAGGTTGCTGTCGATGAAACTTGAAAGACGTGAAACACCAAGAAGCAGGTGTAACTTAAGTGGTTTTTCTTGGAGTCAAACTTTCTTCTTGGTGGACTCCCCAAGATATTTGGTATTCAAACTAGAAGGTTTATTCTAGGAGCAAGTAGTGGTACAGCCCTCGCTGAGATAGTATAATCTTGCAGAATCAACTATACAACCGTAAAACCTACAGAAAAACCTCACATAACTTTGTTGTCTCCTACTATTTTTTTGAGGAAAAGTGGGTGATCTAGTTTACCCTCTCCAAAAGATCAACATATTGTTTACTTTCCAAATCAGGTAGCATTGTTTACTTTCTTATCTGTCACAACAAACATGTGGATATATATAGAGTAGTAGACCTATTATTACGTGCCTCGAATATTACAATCTTGACAAACAATGCTTCGAGCCCAATGGTGTGATTTTTTGACCTCTCTATGGTGCCAATTGTCAAAGAAGCTTTTCTTTTTTGTTTTTTTTTTTAAGTTTTAAGTTTAAACATACTATATATATAAATTAGTGTAGAGAATAGTTTAGATAGTAGTATGTAATTTTTAAAGAGCCCGATACAGGCTTATAATTGTGAACGTCCGGTATGGGTGAAAAATCCTATATTTAGTTTAGTTTTCTCATTTTACCCTTACCCCCTTCTTTTCTTTTATTTGTTTTTTTTTATATATCTTTCTATACCTCTGTGTTTCTTTTATATAAGTTTTTTCTTTTTCTTTTACTTCTCTACGAGAAAATGTTATCAGATTAGTGATATCCTATTGTAAAGCGGTGGTCAGATGATTGATCGTACCTCTCTGGTGCGGCATGATCGCCTGTAGGTGCGTGTAGGTAATTGGTTAGATTATGCAAAATAGCCGCAGGATATCAGACCTGTAGTTTTGATGTTATAGCACTTCTACAAATGGTACTTTATTAAATAAAGGTACTGGCGTGATCTGCCAAAGTGAAGCAAAAAAAATATATAAAAGAAACACAGAGGTATAGAAAGATATATAAAAAAAAACAAATAAAAGAAAAGAAGGGGGTAAGGGTAAAATGAGAAAACTAAACTAAATATAGGATTTTTCACCCATACCGGACGTTCACAATTATAAGCCTGTATCGGGCTCTTTAAAAATTACATACTACTATCTAAACTATTCTCTACACTAATTTATATATATAGTATGTTTAAACTTAAAACTTAAAAAAAAAAACAAAAAAGAAAAGCTTCTTTGACAATTGGCACCATAGAGAGGTCAAAAAATCACACCATTGGGCTCGAAGCATTGTTTGTCAAGATTGTAATATTCGAGGCACGTAATAATAGGTCTACTACTCTATATATATCCACATGTTTGTTGTGACAGATAAGAAAGTAAACAATGCTACCTGATTTGGAAAGTAAACAATATGTTGATCTTTTGGAGAGGGTAAACTAGATCACCCACTTTTCCTCAAAAAAATAGTAGGAGACAACAAAGTTATGTGAGGTTTTTCTGTAGGTTTTACGGTTGTATAGTTGATTCTGCAAGATTATACTATCTCAGCGAGGGCTGTACCACTACTTGCTCCTAGAATAAACCTTCTAGTTTGAATACCAAATATCTTGGGGAGTCCACCAAGAAGAAAGTTTGACTCCAAGAAAAACCACTTAAGTTACACCTGCTTCTTGGTGTTTCACGTCTTTCAAGTTTCATCGACAGCAACCTGTTTAGAGGTAAGTTCAGTTTCCAGAATACTCTTCTGGTTTGGATGCCAAATATCTTGAGGAGTCCACTATACAAGAAGCTTGACCCCAAGAAAAACCACCCAAGTTACACCCGCTTCTCGATATTTCATGCCTTTAGGTTTTATTAACAACTGCTTATTCAAAAACAGGACTGAAAATAGTATATATCTTGAGACTTTCTATATCATTTTTCTATTGTTCAATTTTTTGTTGTGTTGTCCAGAGGATCGTTAGAAAGAGTTTTGATTTCAGAAAACAAATTAAGCTTGAAAATATCTAGATTTTAATTTAATAATCCTGTTTTCAGAACTCATGAGCGGTTCAAAGGTTCTTGATACAACTCTTAATACACCGGCAAACCAAGTTCAACCAATATCCACCTGATTCGTACCCAATCTTGAGTCAATTCAAAATACCCTTAAGTATGATAAAAAGTCATATTATCCAAGTATATCAGAACTTGAAAAAGTAAGAATTAGTTTCTATTGATTTATTTATTTTTAATTACTGGGTAATTTATTTTATTTTTAATTTATTTAATTTATTTTTTTTGGTTAATAGGTTTGTTTTATAATAGACAAATATGAAGGTGAAGGCACAGTTATATCAAAACAATATGGTATCAAAAATGCTCAAAATCCAAAAGAACAAGCTGTACTCCTTGGTATTGTATCTGCAATTATGCCAGCTCTTTTAACTAAATATCCAGATTTACTAGTAGTAGATTCTACTGGTTATCGCAACAGCTTAAACTTCCCAAATACAGCCTTTATAGTTAAATTAAATGAACCCCATGGTCGAGTTGTAGCAACATTTGTAAATAATAAAGAAACAATACCAGTTATTGATCTTATGTTCAAATCAGTAAGTATTTTTGTGTTTTCTAATAGATTTTGTTATATTATAATAATTTTAGTTATTTTTCTGGTTGTTTAAAGCTTATCAAATATTGTTCTAAGAATGATATCCAATTAAGCCTGAAGTGGTTAGCTATAAACAAATAGGATCCATATCTGATAGCAGCTAGAAAATACTTGCCTAATACTCAAGTAGTTTTGTGTAACTGATATGAGGGTAATTTCTTATAAAATTTTATTTTTTCTTTGCAGATTAAGTCTAGTATAGGTGATACCCAGTTGTATAAATTGAATTTGTGCAGTAGACACAGTGTACATAGATTAAATTTGCACATATATCAGTGCTCTTCATATATATAATGCATGTATAAATTTCTTTTTTGTGCATATTTTTTTTTGCGTTTGCGCCAATAAAAATTTTTTAAATTTATAACACTAGTGATACCTCTCTCAACCTCTGTATATATACTATTTAGCCAAAATTGTACATGTAATTTTGGCCAAATCGTATGATTACATAGCACAGGTCAGAGATCGACTGAAGATGTTATCTATACTAGAATTAATCCTTTCTTTGCTTATCAGTTTTTTTTTATAATTTTGCATTATTACTATTTTTTTTTTAGCCGATACACTTAAAGAATGGTTTACAAAACATTTGAATGATCAATAGCTTAGAGATCGAATATTTTATCAATTTTGATTCATTACAATTATAGATGCGAAGAAGCTTCAGATTGCTACCAGAATTGCAAACTCAGCAGTTGCAGAAACTATTGCATCTTACTTTCAAAAGTATTGGTTCGGCGGTTGGGTTGGTTAGTCAATCTTTTTTATTTTTGTATCTTTCACTTTTATACTAATACTTTAACAGATATATGACCAGATTACAAATGTAATGATTGTTCTATAAAGACAAATATATTATTAGAAAGCTATTTCAAATAAGACATGATACTACATTATCAAGGAAGATATACCAAATCTCTACATTTAAATCTTAAAAAAATAGGTACATCAATTTGTGCGGATAGTGGAGTGATTGAAAGGTAAATCTAAGAATTTTTTTTGTTTAAAAAAAAAAAAAAAA